CTATCAGTATGGGCACCAAGGACTACATCCCAACTACCAAGGAGACCACGGGGAATTGGAGTGCCTTCGGAGGCCAAGAACTCTGAGGTCACCCACCCCCGTTTGGATCTACCACATGGGATGGAAGAAGCCCAAATCCTTCCTCACAGGATCCAAGGTCATCAGAACAACAGCCAGGAGCCCTGAGCGGTCCACAGAAACAGAACAGTAAACTTCCTTCGGGACTAGGGAGAGGAGCTTTCTCTGGTCCTTACTTAGTTCCAACTTTGGATCCCCACCCTCTCTTGCAATGACCATCAGGGTCGCTCCGGAGCCCCCCACCCCAAAACACACACACACACACACACACACACACACACATTAGAATAGATAGACAGAGAACAACAAGGAAAGCTTAGAACCAGACAGGAAACAGTCAGCGTGGATTCACACATACCTTACTAGGTAGGACACAAAGATTAGTTACTCCTCACTAAGGTATTGAAGATTTCTCTGTACACCCCTCCTAAAACTTTTTTGTACTCCAACTGTTGACAGATGCCTTGTTAGAGTTATAAGCCAGCTTAGACTATCCCAAAATCCTCCAAGTTCAGCACAATTATGCTTCAACACTATAAACTTCTAAAGTGAAAAAGACACAAGACAGCTGAATAGACCCTATAGGCATTTTAAGGTGTATAGCAGCCGGTTCTCTGTAGAAACTAAAATTGAAATGTCAATGAGTTAGTCACAGGATGTAGTTAAGAACTTGCATTTTTTAACATATTGGTTACTCAATATCATGTCAATTAATTCCATAATGTTGCAAATTGTTGTTGATGTTATGTTAGGGCTTTTAATTGATCAGCATGATATTCTGCCAGCTCTGCCTTCAGACCAGAGATGGTCTCCTCAAGAAACCATTGAATTTATCTGGACACTAAGATGCTGGACTCTATGCCTGCAATGAAAGAATCTTGACTGAATTTGAACTGTAATACTGCACCAAGGTGGAGGACTTCACCATGGGGGGAGGGTATGGGAGGGGTTGGGGGAATCCCAGAGCCTATGAAAACAGTGTCACATAATGCAATATAATCAATAAAATAATACTGCTAATAATAATAAATTTTTTAAAAGATTAAAAAAAACGTAGTCTATTTTCACTGAACACTTATGTATATGACTACATAAAAATTCTCCTCAAAACATAACCATGAAAACCAATCAACGTCTGCATGCTGAAGTACTCAAGGAATAAAGGTTATGAATGTCTACAACTTCTAGAAATGAATTTTAAAACTTGACTGATGAATAACACTTTTCCCTTGGTTTATGAAAAGGACTAGTTCTAGCACTCCCCCTCTACCCAGATACAAACTGAGGATGTGCAAGGCCAAATGCAAAATGGCAGCATGTACCCTATGTGCATCTTCCCACACACTTACTGCCGTTTACACACTTGTTGCAGTGTTTGGGGAATAATGACATGAAAACAAATCTTCACACATTCGGGACAAAAAAAAATCCCAATATTTTCAATTGTGGTTGGTTGAATCCAGGAAATGCACCTTACGGATGGATGAAGAAGGCCAACTATCCAGAGGGATACATGTTTAAAAAAATAATTACAGCAACATTGCTATAACTGAAAATATTCATACAAAATGCTTGAGAAGAAGGGATATTTCTAAGTATTCATGAGATGAGATTGTTAAGACAGTAGAATAACGTGTTTCATACATTTCGAAATTTACACCATAGTACTATTACAGCCTTCTAGACTAAGTCAGCCACGCTGCAGGTGTCTTCAATCACTCAAGCAGGTTATACAGCTCAGCAGTAGAGAAAGAAATCCAAACCACTTTTTCCTTATCGGAAAATAGTATTTTTTTCAAATATTGTTAACAATAAAAATTTCTTTGCAACAATAATTCCAATTTCTTTTATTAGCTTTTATTGCTACTTGTATTATTGTAACTTTCAATAATTACCATCTTAATACTCAAATTTTCTATATATTGTGATTAGCACAAGCAAATTCTTCCTATAAACAATTTTTCAAATGATAACTTAAAATTTACATTAAAATTGACTTCCCTTTTTTTTTTTTAAGACTTATTTTTCTTGGAAAGGTAGATTTACAGAGAGAAGGCAAGACAGAGAAAAAGATCCTCCATCTGTTGGTTTACTTCACAAGTGGCTGCAATGGCCAGAGCTGAGCTAATCCGAAGCCAGGAGCCTCTTCTGGGTCTCACTTGCGGCTCCAGGGTCCTAAGGCTTTAGGCCATCCTCAACTGCTTTCCCAAGCCACAGGCAGGGATTTGGATGTGAAGTGGAGCAGCTGGGAAAGGAACTGGCATCCATATGGGATCCTGGTGCATTCAAGGCAAGGATTTAGCCACTAGGCCATAGCACCGGGCCCAATTTCCCTTTCTTATAACACTGATGAACTGAGACATCTTCTATAGCTTTTACACTTGAAACAATTTTCTTTATCATAAAAGTAATTTAACACAAAACTACATTAAAAAAATCTTAATAGCCAAAGACAGTAAAATTCATAACAACAATTAGAGCTAAAACAAGACTAAAAGAGTAACAGGGAACCCTGCACACCTAGCACATAAAACATTTTGAAAATTTTAAGTATTTTAAAATATGGTTATAAAAAGCTTACCCTTTCTGCTTCAAAGGTAATTCAAGTTTAAAAATAGTAGCATCATTAACAACTGCTTTATATGCCTGCAAAACAATTTGAAATACGTATTTTTAGTATTCAAAATACAATTACAGAGATAAATCATGGCATCTCCAAAATATACATATCCATTTTCCCTTCTCTATTGTTTTTGTAGTTTTATAACAAAAACATCATCTGTTTCTTTTACATCTCCAAAGTTATCTTCTGGTTTTGCCCCCTTTAGCTAATACTGCAATTCTGTCCCTCACTTGAGCTAAGTTTCAGAAAAGTGAATACAACACACACTGTCTCCAGGTTTCTGCCTGCATTCTACCGGAAACCACCCTCATAAGGTTTTCACACCACTACTCGCCAAACTTCTTTTTACCGAAGCCACTCACAACCTCAGCATGCTGAAGTCCATGCTGAATCCTTACCAGCAGCAGCACCTGTAAAACACCAGCCTCTCCTGTGGGAACTTCCCGTTTGTTTTCTAGCATCCAGGTTCTGTTGGACATGTATTTTTCCTCTCTCCTCATGCAGGATAGCACCTCACCTTAACCACAGATACAGGTGAGTACAAGCTGACACACTGATTTTTCCAGGCCCATTTCCTCTCAGACTCTATACCACTATACGGATGTTTAACACATATTTAAGTCAATTTATTCAAAGCTCTAGTTCTGATCCTACTTCATCTAAAAACCTTTCCCTACAACCTTTCTCACTGCATCAAACATACTCTTCTAATTGATTAGAAACAAATCTCAATGCTTTAAAAAAAAAAGATTTATTGATTAATTTGAAAGGGACAACTAAAGGGAGAAATAAAAAACAGAGGAGAGAGAGAGAGAGAGATTGATCTCCATGTATTGGTTCACTAACCAAATAGCTACAATGTGGGTGGAACGGTCCAAGCAGTTTGGCCATCTCCCACTGCTTTCCTATTAGCAGGGAGCTGGATCCCAGGGAGAGCAACCAGGACTCATATTCCAATATAGAGTGCCAGCATCTAGGTCTCAAGCACCAGCTTAATGTCTGTCATGATGCCAGCCCCTTACTGGCATTTTTAACAATAATTTTCTATGCCTGATTCATTAGCAAATGTGGAACTCTATTCACATATTATCAGAATCCCAGGAATCCCTCCTTCTAAAGCATGTACTATCCCCAAACCAAAATGACCACCGTACGAGGTTTTCTGTACTCCTGCTTCACTGCAGCATTATTCCCAGTAGCTAGGGTATAGAAACATCATTAGCACCCATCTGTAGGAGGATGGACAGATAAAGAAACTGTGCTCTGTATGTGCGCTAGAATAAAAACGGTGATCTTGCCACTTGCTACAGAATGGATAAACCCACAGGGCACTACGCTAACTGAAGTAGGTCTGACATAGAAAGGAAAATATTACATTATTGCCCTGACTGACAAACTGAAAAAATATTCAAACATACAAAGAAAACAAAAACAGCTGTTATTAGGGATAGGGAAAGAAATGTCAGAAAGAGGATAGGAGCTCTCACTGGGTTGGTTAGGAAAGTGGTCAGCCAAACCTTCCACATTTAGTGGCTGCTGTCACTTTTATCTTTTAATTCTAAGCCATACAGTTAGTACAACAGACACTGTCAAACCTCTCTCATCCCCTCTGGCTTCTCTCACTATTCATATCAATATCTGTACCTAACGATGCGCTAAGACTGCACATACAAGCTGCCTATACTTCTGGCAGGCTAGGGATGTGAAGGAATCATTACCTCATAAAAGGGATACTTTTAAGCAGTGTTTTTAATACTGTTAGGAATAAGCTACAGCAGCTAACCATAGTCAACACCTCACTCTGTTTGCTACCATCCTTTCTCTTTACACCACCTTGCCTTCCTACACACGTTCCTCTCATTTTCAAAACTAGTTATATATTCAGGGGCCCAGTGTGGTAGCCTAGCAGTTAAAGTCGCATTGGAATCCCATGTGGGCACCAGTTCTAATCCCAGTGGCCCCACTTCCCTGCCAGCTCACTGCCTGTGTCTTGGGAAAGCAGTCGAGGACGGCCCAAAGCCTTAGGACCCTGCACCCACATGGGAGACCCAGAAGAGGCTCCGGGCTCCTGGCTTCGGATTGGCACAGCTCTGGCCATTGCTGCCACTTGGGGAGTGAATCATTGGATGGAAGATCTTCCTCTCTGTCTCTCCTCCTGTCTGTATATCTTTCTGATAAAAATAAAATAAAAAATAAATCTTTAAAAACAAAACAAACAAAAAAAAAAAACAAAAAAAAGCAAATTCCTTACATCACAGCTCATAGTCTTACATGATGTGGCCTTCTGTGTCCTATTTATTCCCTACTCTCTCCCCCTCTCACTCATCCACTCTGGCCACAGTGGTCTCTTCTCCTATTCTTGGAACATGCTAAGTGTATTCCAGTCAGAGAGACTTTACAGCCATTGCTTCCTTCTGGGGGAACACTCTGACTTAGACACCATTAGCAATTCTGACTGAAACGTCACCTCAGTGAGGCTCCTGCAGAGTACTCTGTTTAAGACCTCAAATGATCCCACCACCTCCACATTCCCTTGACCGCTTTCCTATTTACTTACTTTAAAATGGACCAAAACCAAGAGGGGAAAAAAAAAACTAATGGATAAAGTTGTCTTTTCAGTGTCATTAAAACAAAACAAAACAACCACTCACTTGGGAAGTAATTAAGGGTAGTTGAAGAAACAAAAACAGTAAATTTTTCCTAAAAAGATGAATTCATTTGTGAGGCAGACTGACAGAAAGCAGGGAGAGACAGAGAGAAGGACAGTTTCCATTCTCTGGCTCTCTCCCCAAACGGCTATAAGGACTACAAGAGCTGGGCTGGGCCAGATGGAATCAGGAGCCAGGGACTCCCTCAGGGTCTGCATGTGCTGAGGGCATCTGCCACTGCCTTCCCAAGTGCATTAGGAGGCAGATGGGCTGAAGTGGGACAGCTGGGATTCAAACCAGCACTCTGATTCACCGACAGCAACTTAACTTGCTGCACTACAACATGGGCCCCTAACAGTAATTTCTTGTGACAGCTTTATGACATTTAAAAAGACACAACTATATGGACAAACAGCATTTCTTTATCATTGTTACATCCTGGTTCTGATGTGAAAAGTCTGTATGCAGTGCAAATGCTTCCCTCAGAAGCCAGGATAACCAAAGGAACCTTATGCAAGGATAGCAGATAGAGGAATCAATTCTGTTTGGGATAAACTGTATAGGTGGGTGGGGAATCCATCAAACAAATTCCAGGGAAGTACACTTCAAGCTGGGATTTAAAGGAATGATGAATAGGAATTCAATAATCCTAATATTCAAAGACAAACAAAAATTCTTGGAAAAATAAAGAAAACAACTTCTAGATAAATACTAGTTTATAAAACACCCATTGCTTACAAAAACGCAAGTCTAATAAATCAAATGTAATATATACAGCTGTTCTCCACTGTTGAAAAAATTAGAGCTTCTGGGCCCGGCGCGGTGGCGCAAGTGGTTAAAGGTCCTCGCCTTGCACGCCCGGGATCCCATATGGGCGCCGGTTCTAATCCCGGCAGCCCTGCTTCCCTTCCAGCTCCCTGCCTGTGGCCTGGGAAAGCAGTCGAGGAGGCCCAAAGCTTTGGGACCCTGCACCCGCGTGGGAGACCCGGAAGAGGCTCCTGGCTTCGGATCGGCATAGTATCGGCCCGTTGCGCTCACTTGCGCTCATCGGACGGAAGAACTTCCTCTCTGTCTCTCCTCTCTGTATATCCGCCTTTCCAATGAAAAAATAATAAAAATAAATCTTTAAAAAAAAAAAAAATTAGAGCTTCTAAGTTGTTTCGGATTTAATAGCAAAATAGTGTATATCATGTACTAAAAGTAAATTATGATAGCAAAACTTCAAACACAAAGTGTTAATATTTAGAAGTATATACCTTATCTCTTGCAGTAAGAAATCGTGGATCATCTTGAAAAGCTTCTTTGACGAGTTTACTAAATCTATTAAATAGAGTAAGTAACTGCTCAACATATTTTTCAGAGTCCTAGAAACAAAATGTTTTATATTTGAGTTTCTAAAAGGAAAACAATCACATCAAAAAGCAAAAATATATAACTTATAAAAGAATTTTTTCTTGAAAGAAAAGATGCTTGAACATCACTTGCTCTTCCAGTTAGTAATGTAAATACCCAGGTACACACTTTAAATAACCTTGATATATATTTACTATTGCCATTGAAGAGAACTTACAGTAGTGATAGTTTCAGCAGCTGCTACCATATCTGCCAGGCCAGCACTAATGATATGTTCCTCCAAGTCTTTCAACATTGGCTCTATTCCATTAGGAACTTTGTCCATCAACGAAAACATTAAATGTAACTCTGAAAAGACAGAATACATCCATATAATCATTTCATTCACTATCATAAAATACCTGTGGTAGTAAGAGTTTAGAGAATCGAATAGTGTTACCAGCATTCTGTGTGTACCGTTGGTTGAGGAACTGCTATGGTGAGCAAAGCCTCCTGCTCTGCCTTCTCTGTGTATTCAAACTTAAAACAGAATTAGATCTAACTGAAAATGATCAGATACTATAAAACGAACGCCCCTAAAAAGGAAGTCATTTCACCTCATATGTGATGAAGTATTTTTTATTTGAAGTCTATCAGTTTACACAGAACATTAGTACATTTCATAAGGTACTTGTAATACTAGGTAGATAGCTGCATCATTAAAGGTTAAAAAAAAATCACAAATAACGACTATAAACAATCGAGAATTTAAATGATAAAAATGTATTAATTAAGCAATTTTCAATTTACTGAGCACTTTTTCATGTTACACCATTTAACTGACCTTCACAAAAACCCTACCTATTTGAAAACAAATATTTTCAAAGGGAGTCCAAAACAGATCAGATGTAAATCATCTTAAATTGGCATATAGAATTTAAATATTTCATTCATGGAAATGAATAGCTTGCTTTTCACTATAATTTTTCCTTTTACAAAAGTGAGTACATTTAGCAAATCAAAATATGCACTATAAATTCAACTAGAGATTAAATGGAACTTTGTAGTTAGACACAATTAAATCACAATAATACATTCAGATGTTAAAAGTGGTTATCTCAGAGATAAAAGGACATAAGAGATTTTTTTCTTTTGCCATGTATTATCTTTCAAAATATAACTTTATTAAGAGAATTTTAGGTGGCAAAACAAAAAATACTTTAGAAATCTTAAACTGATCTGTTACTGTAATCACAGACTAGAAAAATAAGGATGGCATGAGGACAGAAAAAAATAGCCAATACTGATTTTATCAGATGTGAGGCTTTATGTCAAGACTTTCTCACTGAGAAAAAATTTCAAATTATAAAGCACTTTTGGGGGAGTTGGATGGAAATAATTAACAGATACAGAGAATTGTATCACTTCTTAAAAATATTTGGTACAACATCCCACACATAAATCAAAAACCTAGTTCTTACATATTAAAGTTAGCCCCTCTAAACACAGAATGTTATTTTTACTTGACAAAACAGAAATTCATCACACATACTCAGATATACATACAAGTATAAACATCTAAGGAAGAAAAAATTTAAGCTTGAAACCTAAGTGCTTTGGTATTATTCCATCAGCTTCTTCAAACACAATTTACACAATTTATAAATATATCTAGACATAAAGGGACAATTCAACAGCAATTTATTAAGTGATTTTCTTCAGAGATAAAAAATACGGATAACACTGTATGCTTTTACCTACTTTCAGTTTCATTTCGTTTGATCATGCCTTGGCACTCCGCTAAGATAGTCTCTTTAAATGATGTCACCAGGGCATTTACACAGCATTCCATGAGCTGAAATGTACCAAAAAGTAGTCAAGAGGTTTGTAGCATAAGGTCTATACCATAAAAGGTCATAAGGTTTACAGCATAAATCTATTCCAATGTACAAAATGAAACCATATTGCTCAACAGAAAAAAAATTAAGGCTACCGGAAGTAGTTTTTACTTACCTTTACTGCAGGATTACTGAAGATACACTCTACACTAGCCACCAAAGTCTATAAATATCTGCACATAAGGAAAAAGCTACGGAACTTAGCTTCTCTTCAGAAATTATAACAAACATCCTCAAGGAGGGAAGTAAAAAAACAAATCTATATATACAAAACCAAAATGAAAAACAAAACTTGGATTAATCCGTTCAATCTGGAGAGAATCGACATTGTAAATAGACTCTATACGTGTGAATGTATTCATTCAACAAACAATTACTGGATGCTGACTATGTGTGGGTATCAAAGAATGTTAAAGAGGCAAAGAAGAATGGGATATAACTTCTTCTCTGGAAGTGATCACTGTCTAATTTCTTTCTAGAAGAATGAAAAAGGTAAAAGTGGTAGGAAGACACAGATCAGAGAAGACTAGAAAGTTACAGTGGAACTAGATTATGAAAGGAATCTCTAGTTTGAGAGTTTGTCCTATATATAAGGAAGTCTGAAACCAAGGATGTCTGAAACAGAATGAGCCCAGTGCCACAGTGTATCACATTAAGTCTTCAGTTATACTGTCAGCCTCCCATAGGAGCCCCAGTTCAAAAATCAGCTACTCCACTTCTGATCCAGTTCCCCGCTAAAGGCCTGGGAAAACAGAAGAAGACCTAAGTACTTGGGCTCCTGTCCCATATAAAGACCCAGAAGTTTTTGGCTCCCGGCTTTGAAACCACCTAGCTACATATGGTCCACATGGCTGTTTGGAGAGTGAACCAGTGGATGGAAGAGCTGCACTTCCTTCTCTCTGTAACTGTGTATCAAATACAGCTGAGAGAGAGAGAATATATTCTTAGCGATATTCTTCCCTAGATTCACTCTAAAATATGAGAATACTTTTAAAGATTCATGAAAATGAAATTACGTTTACACTGCTATAAAAAAGCTTGGAAATCCATGCAGTTTTCTCATAATACCTGTCTTGCACAAACTTTCCAAAGTATACTTTCATTCATGTGATGACCATAAAAGAGGGTGCACAATGGCTCACGTGGGCTTGGTGTGGTAGCCAATTGGCTAAACCCTACCCTTACATCTGCCAAGATCCCATATGGGTGCCAGTTCATGTCCCAGCTGCTCCACTTCCCATCCAGCTCCCTGCCTGTGGTCTGGGAAAGCAACAGAGGATGCCTCAAAGCCTTGGGACCCTGCACCTGTAGGGGAGACCAAGAAGTTCCTGGCTCTTGGCTTCAGAATGGTTCTGGCCATTGCAGTCACTTGGGGAGTGAACCAGCACATGGAAGATTTTTTTTTTTCTCTCTCTTCTCTGTAAATCTGCCTTTCTAATAATAAAAAAAATTAAGTATCAAAAAAAAGGGGTATGTGTGAAAGGGTTCATGTAAGATAGGCAAGGGTCTACTATTCTATGAGAACATCATTAAAATCCCCTAAATAGAGCAGATAATTTCCACATACCATGCCTGTTCTCACATGGAGAAAAATTATTCATTCTTCTCACTGGGTTTGTAGGTTTTGAGTACTAAAGCAAGGAGCATTAACACTGATACAACTTTTCTGAAAAAGATACCATCTACTTACATGAAAGGAGGAAATTACATGAAGGGAAACAATTATATGTGCCTTCATGGAACCAACACAATACTATTCATTACTAAAACTAAATTTATCTAATGGAAATTTGTTATACTAGCCTTCCTACTTCTTAAAATATTTCATATTCTCTAAAAAATGTTTTATTCAATGGGCCTGGTGCCGTGGCCTAGCAGCTAAAGTCCTCGCCTTGAGCGCGGCAGGATCCCATGTGGGAGCTGGTTCTGATCCTGGCGACTCTGCTTCCCTTCCAGCTCCCTGCTTATGGCTGGGAAAGCAGTCGAGGACAGCCCAAAGCCTTGAGACCCTGCACCCGCATAGGAGACTTGGAAGAGGTTCCAGGTTCCCGGCTTCGGATCGGTGCAGTACTGGCTGTTGTGCTCACTTGGGGAGTGAATCAGCAGATGGAAGATCTTCCTCTCTGTCTCTCCTCTCTGTATATCTGACGTTGCAATAAAAATAAATCTTTAAATAAATAAACTAAAAAGCTCTAGCCCCAATTGCAGAATACTTCCATTCTATAAAGGTTTTGCACAAATGAACCAAGCTACTTTGTTGTTTTTAGTAAAAGGCAAAAGATTTTTTTTTAATATAACGAGAAACCAGGGTATGATGAATTGTTCTACTTTCAACAGCAAAACCAATTGAAAAGGAGGTGGCATTATGGCATAGAGGGTAAAGCTGCCATCTGAGACATCAACATTCTAAATGAATGCCACTTCAGTCCTGACTGTTCTACTTCCACTCCAGCTACCTGCTAATGTGTCTGCGAGGGCAGCGGAGGATGGCACAAATACTTGGGCCCTTGTCTTCCATGAAAAAAGGGTAGATGGAGCTCCAGGCTCCTGGATTCCGCCTCACTAATCCCGGTTGCTGCAGCCATCTGGAGAGTGAAGAAGATGGAAGATCTCTTTCTGTCCCTCTACCTTTCAAAATAAATAAATAAATCTTAACAAAAAATTGACAATAGGTCAATTTAAATATGTGCAACCAATGAAGAACAAAGAGTAAGTGTAATCTGAGTATATTCCAACTGCCAGTGACTTGATCTGTTTTCTATTTCACTGAAACATTCACTTAAACTTTATGCTGTTTGATGGTAATACAAACTTTGCAGATTATAAAAATCTAGACAAGTACATTTCAAACTGTTGTGAAATGAGTTTTAATGGCTGTAATTAATTTATTTTATTAATGACACATAACAGGACAGAAAGTATCAGTACACATGACACATTCTGACCATGAATGTTATTTCATGAAATTGCTTTCAGAAAAAAAAAAAGAAATTAGTTTCAGATATATCCAAGTAAAAAAAGCGATAAAATAAAAAATATGTTTCTTACTGTGGGTTATAAAGAGTATATAATGGAGTAAAATGAAAAGATAATAAAAAAAAACTGAGAATTTGCTAACCATTTAAATGAAAGGCATTAGATAAATAAAAGGAGGCTGAAATAGCGTCTAATATAAGAGGTTAAAAGGGGCCAGCATTGTGGCATAGTAGGTAAAAACTGCTGCCTGCAGTGCTGACGTGCCACACGGGCGCCAGTCGCGCCCTTCTTGTTCTGAGCCAGGTCCCTGTTAATGGCCTGGAAAAGCAGTGGAAGATGGCCCTGGTGTTTGGGGCCCTGTTACCCAGTGAGAAAACTAAAAGCAGCTCCTGGCTCCAGGTTTTGGCCTGGCCCAGTTCTAGTTAGTCCTGGGACCAGTAGATGGAAGATATCTTTTTGTCTTTCCTTCTCTGAAACTCTTTTAAATAAATAAATAAATAAATAAATAAATATATTTTAAAAGGGGAACCAGTTAATAACAGGTTATTATAACATTTTACTAAACACTCAGTATTAGGCATTATGCTAAAAACTTTACATATATTATCTTATTTAATTCAAACAACAAATTTTCGATGCAGATATTTAATTTTATAGCACTCACAGGCTAAGAGGCTAAATAATCTGTAAATATTATAGTTGGTTCTTGGGCCTTGACTTGCTATGAGTCCAGGTAGGAGACTCCACAGCATCCAAATGTTCTCACTATAACAACAGATCATGTGTATATTACTAGCTATATATTCAGAACTAGGTTAATGGATTTTTTAAGAAAAGCTGGATACTGATTTGCATTTTTCCTTGATATATGGAAATAACACATATTTAGAATTATTTTGTGACATTTCTATATATATATATTTACAATGTGTTCAAGTGTTTGAAGGAATAGAGAAGTTCATATACTGACGGATTTTATAAATCCAGTTGGGGACATGTAACTACATACCTAAAAATATGTGCAAGTTTTATGTGGATACAAAACATGTATGTATACGTGCTCATATAATAAGAAGCTCAATCCCAATAAGAAATGATAATAAATGCATTGTCATAATAGTGTAAACTTCACAAGGAAAGACATTATGGTTTATCAACAGCTATGTAGTCACGGCCTTGGCCACAGAGCTTGATAAACAACAAAGAGCATGAGAATAAAAGGACATAGAGGAAGGCCACAGAAACCTGGGTTACTTCTCTACCAGATAGGCAAATAAGAATATTTTAAATAATCTTTATAGGTATAAGAAAAGTAAGACATTACTAAGATGAATTCAAGGAAATAAAAAAAAATTATATTAGTTCTATCAATGAGGAAAGTCTTCCTTACTGAGATGGAGTGACCCTTGCTAACCAGTACTAAATTTGAAAAGTAGGTTATGGTCAAATATTAAAGGCCTTGAAAACTGGGGACAGGAAATGATGATACTCCACTATTTAAATAAAGTCATAAAATGATAAAAGCATTCTTTATAAAAGATTATCCTAAATTCACAAAAGAAGAAATACAAAGGGCCAATAAGAATAAACATGTCCAGCCTCTCTCACAACTTGTTTATCCTTCATTTTCTATTTGAAAGGTAGAAAGACCATGACAAAGATCTTCTGTTCTATGATTCATTCCCCAAAAACATGCAGCAGAAAGAGATAGCCCAGGATGAACACAGAACCTCTTGTAGGTCTCCCACATAGGTGATTACGGACTCAACCATGTGAACTATCACCTGCAGGCTGCCAGACTGCACGTAAGCAGGAGATTGGATTAGAAGAAGAAAAGCTCAGACTCCAATTCAGAACATGGGCATTCCAAGTAGTATATTAACTGTTGTGTCAAATGTTTGTCCTAATCAATTTTTAAAAACATATATTTTATTTATTTGAAAGGCAAGGCTACAGAGATGGAGAGGGGGACAATCTTCCGTCCATTGACCTACTCCTCAAATAGCCACAACAGCCAAGACTGGAGCCAGTCAAAGCCAGGAGCCACGAGGCTTTCTGGGTCTCCCACGTGAGTACTCAGGCCCAAGGACTAGGGCTATCCTCCCCCCAGACGCATTAGTGGGGAGCTGGACTGGAACCAGAACAGCCAGGACTCATGCCAGCATCGAACAGCTTTACCAACTATACCACAATTTGGGCCCTAACCCAAAGGCTTTTAAATGTACATTTTAAAACTTTTAAAATCTGTTACTGGGAAATTAACAAAAATCAATAAATACTAGATACGCAAAGATATGGGTAAATAAGCATACTAGTGGTACAATAGTTACTACAACATTGCTGAAAGTCATGCAGGTATTAGATACAATTTGTAAAAGGTTCATGTTCTTTGCTTAAACAAATTTTAATAGTCCATTCTAAGAGGATGCTAAATCTTAGAGACAATACATATGCATAAGCATGATATAAAGATATGTGGATATTTAAGAATATCCCAGGAAGCACTACATAAGAAACAAACCATAAACAATGACAGTGGCCATCATTACAGGATGGCATATTATATGTTAGGTATATTATATAAATACATTAGGTATATATTACTATATTAGGTATATAATAGCTATATATACAGGTGAGGTATATTATACTATGTTATGCAATAATATAAAGTGTTTACAGTAAAATATACAATGTCATAAATTTCTTTTAAAATGTTATGGCAAAAAGGAGGAAGAGAAGGAAGTAATGGAAGAAAAAGGAAGAAAAGAACAGGCATGACAGAATGAAGATAATTGTTGAACTTGGAGGCGGAGTACAGAGTCTGGGATTCATTATATTATTTTCTCTACTTACGCAAATATTTGAAACTTCCATTACAAGGGTTTGAAAAAATAATAATGGTATACATCTCTCCTGCATATTGGAAACTTCTTCAGAAAACTATCTTATCTAAGCAAAAAGAAGAAAGGAAGATTGCTAGATAGGATTCTCTCCTTATTTCAAATAAGTTTTGTCCTAATAAGAGTCATGTCCTCACGTCTTCAAGGACAGAGATCATGCTATTCCTCTTTTATAGTTTTTCCCCATCACTTACCAAAGTACTATATAATACACAGCAGATCCTAAACATATTTGTTATTTGAAAAACACATGTGAAATTGAAAGGATAGTGATAAACCATCTCTCTCACCTTGTATTCCCCTTTCTGTCTCCTTTTGCTAGCTTCCGTGAAGAAAAAAACTTTTTGTCATGTGCCATCAACTCCTGCTTTTGTTTGCCTGAGATGAGCACAACTTCTAAATCCAAAGCAATCTCTCCCCAGAGGTCTGCAAGGTGAAATACTTTAACTATCAATATGCTTGATGTTCAACCTCCACTCTAGAAAGACCATAACCCTTCAAAGACAATGCCTACCACAAAAACACAGCAGCCACTCAGTAAGTTATTTGTTGAATGAATGAATCCACTGATCTCTAAAAATGGAAAATGAGATACGTAACCTAAATGATGCAAGTTTGCTTGCAGTGATATTGAATCAGCGTCATTAACTCTACTTCACTGACTTTCAGTAAAAAAACAATATCAGTTCTAATTTTTATTTGTTTTACACCTGTTTGGAGAATCATTTACTTTACCTCCATGATAAAGCAAATAATGGGGCCCAGTGCAATGCTTCATGGCTAAATCCTCACCTTGCAAGCACTAGGATTCAATATATGCAGCAGTTTGTATCTCAGCTGCTCCACTTCCCATCCAAGCTCCTTGCTTGTGGTCTGTGAAAGCAGTAGAGGATGGCCCAAGACTTTGGGACCCTTGTACCTACATTGGATAACTGGAAGAAGCTCCTGACTCCTGGTTCCAGATCAGCTCAGCCCTGGCCATTGCAGCCTTTTGGGAGTGAACCTATGGCTGGAAGCTCTTTCTGTCTCTTCTCTGTAAATCTGATCTGACTTTCCAATAAAAATAAATAAATCTTAAAAAAAAATACATGAAACAAGTACTGAACTAAAAATCACTTTAAGGTTCCTCAGTGTGTCTACTGTATCAGTCTTAGGCTATTTACCAAATCAAGATACATTTTACATGCAGAAGGCTATTCTCAAAGTTTCTCTTAGCCCTTCTTAAGGTTCTAAAACTGTGATTAGTGGCCGTTGGCTCATTTCTAAACTGGTTCAACACACAACCTTCTATACAGAGTGATAACGAATGTGCTTCTCATGAGATTTTTGGATACCATCATTACCAAACTAAAATACTGAAGTTTCATAAGTACCTGTATTAATGTAAGTTATAACTTATAAACAATTACTTTCTCAGCTATGTTGTTTTTGTCAGTTTGCATATACAATTAAAGCAGTTTCTATTTTTCTTTAGTATCAAATTTTCTTCAAACCAGAATCCTAACAATACATGAACCTGGGAAAGCAGCAGAAGATGGCCCAAGTCCCTGCATCCAGGCACCCACGCGGAAGACCTGAAAGATGCTCTAGGCTCCTGGCTTTGGGCTGGCCCAGCCTTGGTCATTGCAGCCAATTGTGGGAATGAACCAATGTTCACCTCTGCTTCTCTGCAACTCTGCCACTCAAACAAATAAAACAAACCTTAAATAATAATAGTAATGAGATACCTTGCCATTTTTCCAAGGCTATGCTTGTGTCTTTGATAATATTTAGGAAGTTTTTCTGTTTAGAAGTTTCACCCATATCATGCTAATTTTTCCCAAGAATTGAATTTTCTTTCCAGCTAACACAAACAAATTTCCTTTGACATTACCTCCTTTAAATATAAGGCTACTTGTTTTTGTATATAACTGTAGCTCATGGAATTATTCATTTTCGAACATTACCACTTTTACCAGATATACAATCATAACATGTGTACCAAGTAAGTGTACTTTTTAGTTATGTCTCTCATGCCCCAAATGTTGGTGAACTATGTGTGGGTGGGGCAAAGCCAGAGGAAACTCTGATGGAGGTCCACAGCAGTCGTGGTGTACAAACTGGTCATCTGACCTGGGTATAGGTGTGAAAGACTAATCGAGCCATCCAGTGAGCTGGTTTCCTCCGAGGTTTCCCTCAGGACAGCTGGCGTTGTTTTTTCTGGTAAAAGTGAATGACTAGATGTTTGGGGTTGAAACTTATGTCCCTCATTGATTAAACCTGTCTTATTTGTATTCTTTCTTTTTTCCTTTTAATATTTATTTGTTTAAATGTAGATTGCCACAGAGAAAGAGAGCTTCTTCCTATCAGTTCACTCCCCAAATGGCTATAACAGGCCAAGCTAATGCCAGTAGCACCATCCTTATCTTCTACATGAGCGACAGAGGTTCACACATTTGGGCCATCTCTGCTGCCTCCCAAGAGCATCAGATTATGGATCCAAAGTGGGGCATCAGGACTTAAACCAGTGGTCAGGGAATGACAGCATCATAGACTGCGCACTACAACATGCTCAGTTAATCTTTAACACAATGTTAAACAGTATAGATACAGTATGTGCAGGAATACGCGCTTATCTTGTTCATGACCTTAGTAAAAATTTCTCTAATGTTTCTCCATGAAATAAGGAAATGGCTCTAGAATTGACATGTAAACATTTCTTACATTATTAATGAATAGAGAATTATTATTTTTTTTAAACAGAGCTATTTTTACTTAAAAGAGAGGGAGAGAAAGAGGGGGAATCTCCATCCACTGATTCATACCCCAGTGACCACATGGTTAAGTAGGGCTGAGCCAGGCAGAACCCAAGAGCAGCATCTGGGTCTCCCATGTGGGTAGCAGGGATTCAAGCACTCAGGCACTTGACCCATATTCAGTTGCTTTTCCCAGGTTATTAGTAGGGAGTTGGATTGAAAGTGGAGTAGCTGGGACATGAACCAGCACCCATACGGGAAGCAGGCATTTCAGGCAGCTTTACTTGTATGCTCTCATGCCAGCCCCAAGTTCTTTCTTAACATAATAAAATGTACACATTATACCCAAAACCAACATGATGCTTAGTGGTAAACATTTAAAGGCATTCTTATAAAGGATGGGAAGAGTATTATTTAGTGTTTCTCTAGGATTATCTGCTAATGAATTAGTTCAACGGCAAATACAAAAAAGTAATGATATTAGAAAGAAACAAGCGTGATCACTGCAGAGAATGCAATAACATGTTTGCAATACCTGTGAGAATAAAATGTCTTACAAACAAATAACTCAATAAATAGGTTAGTCCTACATAAAAATTGTTTGAAATGTACACCTGGATTGTGGTATATCACATAACTGGATACCACCTAGGAAAGGTATATAATATTACACAGAATATAAATCCAGAAGTTTATTTGCAATGGTGCACAAAGAGCTAATCAGATTCAGAAGACTGATTCACACCAGGTAAACACAAACCACAACCCATTGATTTTCAGAGGAAAACATTCATGTCAGAAATTTATACACTTTAATCTTAAGTTTTAGTGTGCATTATTATTTAGCTTCAGATGACAACAGTTACTAGAATCTCCATATTTTATAATTATCCTCCATTAGTAAGATAGCTTGATACATGAGTACAGACTGGCACAGCATGTTCTGATGTATACCAATTCCTCAAAAACAGATTCTAAGGCAGTAAGTCTGTTCTGGTCATTTTAGCATTGAAAGGATAATTTGTTACTAGCTACTCAAACAACACATACGTTTCATATTTTTTTCACATCGGATTGGAATCTGAGGGGCAGGCACTGTAGAGTAGTAAGTAAAGCCACCGCCTGCATAACTAGCATCCTGTATGGGCACCGGTTTGTGTCCTGGCAGCTCCACTTCCAATCCAGCTCCCTGCTAATATTCTGAAAAACGGAAGAAACCCCTGGCTCCTGGCTTTGGCGGAGGCCAGGCCGGGGTATTACAGTCATCTGGGGAGTGAACCAGAAAACGAAAGACCTCTCTTCCTTTCTTTCTCTCCTCTGAATTCTCGCTTCAAATAATTAAACAAATTTTTACTTCCCCTCACGTTATACCTCATTGTAACACATTATTTCTCCTTGGAAACAAAAATAGGAAATGAACAAATATTTAATAAATACCATGTTAAAATGTATACCTCACCTAAGGTATAAAATACAGTACTCTTCAGTAAGCTTTACATTTTTAATGTCTCCTTTGCTCCAGAAATTGTCACACCAACTATGTATGGTTACAGATATGAGGATGCTTCAAGAACGTTATAGATACAAGATTAAAAGACTTTATTTGGATGCAAAAAGCAGGCACACAACAGGTCTTCAAAGCATTGACTGAAAATGTGTAACTTGAAAGAACTATGCATGGATTTCAAATTTTTCTGTGCAAAAATTTAAATTTACCTTTTAGCCAAAATTTTCCATGAACTTTAAAAAACGTTTTATTGCATACTTCAAAGGCCAAGCAAGAGAGACAGCAAGAAAGGGGGAGAAAGTGATGGATTTTACATCTGCTGGTTTGTACCAAACCCTGCCAACTGCCAGGGCTGAGTCAGGTTGAAGGAGGGAGCCTGGGACTCCACATGAGTCTTCCTCATAGGTGGGAGAGACCCTTGTATCTAAGTCATCACCTGTTCCCTCGGAGGTGGCCCTCAAACCCAAACCCTCCCGTATGGCACGTGGACAGATGCCACAATGCTGGCCTCCTACAGTTATTGAGGTACACAATATTAGTCTATGTTGATAAACTCTGAAGGAAAAGATGCTCAGTTGGAGAGAATATGATCTCTAAAAAGCCAATTGCTCATTGTAGTCACTTCATGATTATGTAATAATATATTTAAGATATTTGTTAAGGAAAATGAAACTAACAGAAATTTAAGTGTGTAAAATGTAAAATCCACACTTCTTTCATAATGTAACTTGTATGAATGTTTCAAAGATGGCTTGTTATGCATGGATCTCAATCTTTTTTGCATCAAAAAAAAGGTCTTTATTCCGGTGCCCATGAATTTTGAAGTATTTTGATACTTTAATTAAAAAAAATTCTTAAAAATCAGCAGGAAACAGAAATAAGCCACAAAAGCAGGTTTTTATATCCTTCATAAAGCACAATTTCTAAAGATATATATATACATATATTTTTTAAAGGAATCAAAACTAGTCTTTCAACTCCAGAATAGTTCAGTCTAGGGAGAGGCTCACACTGCAAACCATGGAAAAACACATTCAGAAACTTTATTTTAAGAATTTTTCCAGTATGTGAGCATGCATGTGTGTGCATGTGTTTCAAAGTAGAAAGGGAAACTGAACTGTCCAAAGCAAATGGCTATACCTGTTTACCTCCACCTTCCTCATTCTCGTTCTTGTTCTATTTTCTTAGTTTATCCATTACTGTTGAATTTCCACAAATTTATTGTAGATATGATGAAACTACACTCTCTAAACTGGAGTAGAACTAAAAACACTCCCACCTTACTAAATTGTAAGATCCCCATCCAAGCACTGCAAGCACACGGATCTACTAAAAAAAAACCTAAAATCTTCCAAACTAATCTCTTTTTCTGTTTAATATGCATTTTCATAGGTAATCTCTGTGTAGCAGAGATGAGACATGGGGAACAATGCTGGCTCAAACTCTAATATCCAGTCCTATCCATACAACAG